CCATTAAAGTCAATGGAGTTTCAATAAGTTGTAGATAAAGCCTGCTACATTAGGTATAAGTGTCCATGTGCAAGCACACTCCTTCAAATATACCAAAACAGTATTTCTTCAACCATTACATCTCAGAAGAGAGAGGGTGGAGGTGAGGGTTTAGATGCCAGGGAAGGGCCAATTAGAATCAAGACAGAAACAGAAATGGAAATTACCAGTCCACACATATAGTTAGAGGGTGAGCAGTAAATTAATTTATATTTTATGTTTTATTGTAAACTGTATGTCAGTCTTATGTAAGCTGCACTGAACTGGCCTTGGCTGGGAAAGCGGGGTAGAAATGTAATAAATAAATAAAATTCTTCAACGTGGTCTCTGTGCTTCACACCCATGTGATCTAGTGCGCACGCGCTGGATCTATCAGTGCTGTAGCAAGCTCTTTTTTCCCATTTTTTTTTTTAATTTTCAAACATATACCATCAAGCGCTTGTAACCTAATTTAAATACAGAATCAACCACAGTTCTTCTTTACAAACAATACTACTAAGTAATATACATATTTAACCTTTGGTTAAAATTTTCATTCAGTTATACAGTTTTGACCAAGTCTCTTCGAACTCTTGCCCTTCTTTATTTTTTAAGATAAATGTCAATCTGTTCATTTCTACTACATTTAACAATTTATCAATTTTTAACATTTAATTTTATGTTCTTTCAATCAATACCTCCTGGCAGGCCCTGGCCCAAGGGATGCCCAACTTGTAGGGTTGCCAAGTCTTACCTGCTGCTGGAGCGGGGGGCTCCCAGCTTGTTCCTGGAGCAAGCGCGTGCCGCAACCCCGTCACCCGGAAGTGACACGACCACGCCGGGCACGCTGGGGGTGGGGCCACGACCATCCGAGGGAAAACCATAGAGTTTTCCCTCCAAATTTCGGGGGGATGTTTAAATCCCCCTGAAAGTGCCAGAGCGTTCCGTGCACATGCGCACGGAACGCTCTGCGACCGAGGCTGCAGCCGCTGCCACTTGGAAGGGAAGCGGCGAGCCGGGAGGGGGGGCAGACTGGCGAGGGCTGAGCGGCTCGGCTCGGAGCCGGGGGGGAAGCCACCACCACCGCTGCCACCCCCGGGCGGGCGGCCGGGGAACAGCGAGGCCCGGGCGGCTGCAGCCTCCCGGGCCTCGGTTTGGAGTCGGGCGCGGGGGGGGGAGAGGCAGAGGGGTGGAGGACACGGGGAAACAGCGGGATGGGGGTACTTACTTCCTCCTGCTGCTTCCTCTGCCTCCGTCCCGCGAGTATCGTGGGTCCACCCCTTGTAGCATCTAATTTCCAATATCTCGCATACAATATTCTAGCCGAAGTCACACATATTATTATTTTATCAGTTTTTACAAATGACTCTGGGACTAGATTCAGCAAGAATACTTCTGGTTTAAAAGGTATCGGGGTTAATATTATATCTTGAATACTTTTTTGAATCATTTTCCAGAAGGATTGTGCTTTAATACAGGACCACCACATATGATAATAAGATCCAATATGTTGTTTACACTTCCAGCAGGTGTTTGTCAATAACCAATTAAATTTAGCTAGCTTCACTGTATATAAGTACCATCTGTTTATCACTTTATATATATTCTCTTTAAAGGTCATAGATCTGGTAATTCTAATATTGGCTTTCCAAATCTTAAACCAGTCCTCCCAGTCGATTTCGTATTCTAGATCCTTAATCCATAATTTCATTACCATTCTATCTGTAGCAAGCTCTTTTAACGGATTTTCGCGCCCAGTCCCTTGGGCATGCGCAGGAACCCAAACACGCATGCCCAGAGGGGTGGGCGCGGACATCCCACCAGTTCCTTTCTTACCGCCATGTTAAGTAGACCTCTTCTTCGTCGGTCCAATCGATTCACTGTTAGCTTTCGCCTCACAGCTCTTAGGAATTATTTCCAAATTTTCTTTTAATTAATTTTTGGTTGTTTCTTCTTCTTAAACAGTTTTTTAAAAAAAAAATTTTTTTTGCTTTCTACTGAGGGGGAATTTACCTCAGGCCTTCGGGCTACCCCTCCCCCAAACATTCCCTCTTCTTCTTTTCTTGGATGGAGAAGAAGTGGGGATTTTTTAATAGGTGCAAGGTTTGCGGTAGCAAACTTGCTCCACCCGAACGTCATACCCTCTGCATTTTTTGCCTCGGAGAGTCTCACCAGCCAGAGTCCTGTCATCACTGTGCGCGTTTCTCCAACCAAATGAGAAAAAAACGCGCTGTGTGCCTTAAAGTGGCGCTGCTTGAATCGGCCCTTGCTCCTGCCTCATCGATGGAGGAGAGACCGTCTACATCGACAGCTCTGGCATCGAGACCTGCCTCCAATGTCGACCGCCCGACACCGAAGCTCTCGACATCGAAGGCACAATCGTCCGCTTCCACACCAGTCAAAAAGAAGGCTAAGGCAAGTAAAGATCACAAGTCCGCTAAGAAGGGCACCTCCAAGCCCCTGAAGGTGGCGAAGAAGGGGAAGGAAGCGGTGTCTGCACTGGGTGATGCCCCTAAAGTGTCTCCCGCTCCAACGGCAGTATCGATATCGGAGGCCCAAGTCCCTCCACCGATACCGACCATCCATGTTTTGGACTCCCCTGTCCACCAAACGGAGCATCCTTACTCCGACATCGAAACAGTAGAGCTCCTAAGTCATCAAATGGATGCAGAGCCGTCTCCGTCTCCTTCCCCGTTGTCGACATCGACGGTATCGGAAGCTCCCGACATTGATCCACATCAGAACCAATATACTTCATGCGACACGCAGCGTCACCCTCCACGTCTGCATGATCAATCTGTTGATATCGACAACCGAGACTACAGGGACGGCTCTCACAGACGGGGTGCTGCTTTGTCTCCCAGACGTCCGCGGTCCAGAAGTCGCTCCCCAAGAGTCTTCCTGCCCCCACCACCACCAATGTCGTGGGATCAATGACAGTTGAGGTACCTATACGGGGCTTATCCACCATCCATGCCCTGGTTGACTCCGGCGGGCTATTCCAATTGGGATCGCTACTCGTCCCACTCTGTTTATAGGTCAAGATCGCCCCACAAGTCGAAACCTTCAGCATCTCTGCCGCGTCCTCCTATAGTCGATCCTTCCCACCATACTCTGGAACCAAGTCGTCCTGTCAACCCTCTGGTCAATCTAACCCCGGTCATCCCTGTCATCCAAACAACTTGTCAACAGGACACTTCGGTCCAAATACCACAAGACTCCTCTGACTTCATTGAAGAGGACTCAGATACGGAGGCTTCTGAAGCTCATACCTCTCCTGACTATACATCTCCAAACCAGGATGTCGCTGAGGACTTACCCGTATCCCCATCCGACAACCTTACATCCTACACAGATCTAGTCAAAAGAATGACCCGCTCTTTAGGCCTCTCTGTCGTCCAGCAGCATCCACAGGCAACTGATGCAGTTTATGATATAGTTCAGTTAGATACCTCTTCCACCTTGGCATTGCCCATGTCTTCCGTCCTTCTGCAGGCAGCGAAGGCACCATGGCTAAAACCTTCGTCTGCTCCTATGTCCACAAGGCGACTGGACCATATGTACAGGATACAAGAGGCAGATGCCGAATTCCTATTCTCACACCCTCAGCCAAACTCTATAGTAATTACATCTTCCTCCAAATCCAAGAGGATGCATTCCGCACCTTCTGACAAGGAAGGAAAGAAATTAGATGCCTTCAGCAGGCGCTTTTACTCCACGGGAGCATTGGGAGTCAAGGCAACTAATTACCTGGCCTGTATGAACAGGTATCAATACACTCTCTGGGAAAGGTTCTCAGAACTACTCAGCCACCTCCCAGACGATAAACTTCAAGCAGCCAGAGTCATACAAAAAGAAGGCATGGTGTTGGCAAAACAGCAGCTCAACACTACCAAACATGTCCTCGAGGCGTCTTCTAGAACGATGGCCTCTGCAATAGCTCTCAGAAGACATTCCTGGCTCCGCAACACTAACCTCCCTATAGATACTAGATCTTATGTGGAAGATCTCCCTTTCGATGGCCTGGGGCTTTTCAACGCTACCACTGATTCTACTCTACAGGAGTTAGATAAAAGCATAAAAGCTTCTCGAGCTCTAGGAGTCTCATCCTCTGCAAAACAAC